CTGTCCCTTTTATATAAAAGGAGATCTCTCGGGGTTCTGTTACAGATCACATGACGGATGCTTTGATCAAAATAATGACTTAATAGTTTCGAATTTTAGTTCACGTGACACACTAAATTGAAACGTTTTGCATTTTATGAGATTTTTAATTAATCTTTGTTTTTAAAACTTTATTTCAAAAAAAAAAAAAAAAAAAAAAAAAGAATTATGCTTTATAATATGAAATTATAAATAACCTTTTTTCAAAGAAAAAAATTATTTACAGGAGAACTCGACAATATACTGTACAACGGATTATCATTATCTTGGGTTTATGTTTGTGGAAGGAGCTAAATGAGAATGATGGATCAATTTGATAAATAATTATGATTAAATAAAGAATAACAGAAAAGAAATTTATTTATTGACATATTCACCTTTCCACTCCCAGTAACCCGCTTCAAACCCGCTGTAACGGGTGTTTCCGGCGCGGACGTACGGGTATGCTCGAACCTTTGCGTCAAGCATTTGGAAAAGTTTTTGACGTTCCATAGGGTCCGTCACATGTGCAAAAGCTTCTTCGCGAAATTCGAGACCGATTATTTGTTTCCTTTCACTTAGTCTCATTAATGCTAAATTAAAGGCGACATTTACTTGACGACGTTCCCATATCCAACGTCGGACAGACAGGAATATAAATAAAATTGCGGATGACGTTGATAAAATAATCAACGAGTAAAATGGATTGTCAAAAACGTTTTTGAAGAGGTTGACGATGGAATTAGATAATTGACAGTAAAAGCCATAAGTTGGCTTTTTTGAGTATATGGAAGCTTTTGTAGTACCATTATGATCTTTCTCTATAAAGTAAATATCATCATCGTGTTCAATATTTTTGAATACATCTTCGCTATATTTATCGAAGTCATGTGGTGGCATCTTTTCTTTAAGTCGAAGTTTGAGATCTTTATATATTAGGTTGTCTTTGTCATATTCACATTCGAATCTTCCCGTTTCGTGAGCAATCATTTCTTTGAATTCTTTAGTGTATTTTTTTGCATTTGCCATCTGATCTTTATCAATCACACAATAAGGTTTATTGAACCTAATATATGATTTTTCCAATTTGAAGCCCCTTTCACACTCTGTGATGACGCCATTTGAGCAAATTGATCCGTTAGGACATGGTGTGCACGTTTGGTCATTAATGGACTCAGATGTTGGTGAATCGTTTTGAACGTCCTGATGAGAGGTTATCGCACTATCACAGTATTCATTGGTTCTAAAGATGATATACAAGTAATACGAGGCACCGATTATGAATAAAATTTTAATGATACTTCTTAAACTTAATGGGAACCTTGTTTTTCGTTTAATAAACTCTGGAGGTGGTCTGCGATCAATCGGTCGCTTAAAAGCTCGAGGTTTATGACAATATGCAATTGCTTCGCGTCGTTCAATTATGTCATTTCCAGTTGTTGTTGATCTATTTTCAGTTCCTTCTCGAGAAGGATATTGAGCATCTCCTTGAGTAGGAGGATATAGAGATACTTCATCAAGTTCAGTTGACTGATGTAATTCTTGTTCCTTACGCTTTACTTCCTCCAGCTCTTCCGGTTCTAGAAAGGGATATGCGGGAGTTCTAGAATATGGAGGCATCATAGGGTAAAATGGCGTAGGCGACGTTGGAGCTCTTAACGTACGTGGTGGGGAAACCTTTTCAGAATGATTTTGTTTCAATTGACTTTGCCCTGCACTTTCTAATGTTGTAGTCTGTTGTGTTTCGACAGCTATTTCATCTTGAACATGTTGTTCTATTACCTCTTTTCGTTTTTTGCTACTTGCACGTCCAGACTTCTGTTTTTTTTGGTGTGGCGTTTTAATTTGTGTAGTTGAAACAGAAGGTGCGATCTTTTCTTCAACATGTCTTTGTTCTTTGTCAGTTCTTCGTGCTCTAGACTCTTTGTCAGTTATTCGTTCTTGTTGTTGTGCTTCTGTTCTCCTTTGTAATTCGACAATAGGAAGAACGTGATCTTGAAATTTCTGGATGAATTCGGCCTTTCTTGAACTATCTTTATAAGGGATATCATTAGCGCTTAAAATTTCTTTAAGACGTTTTACAGTGACCTTAGAAGGGTCAAAATTTTCCGCAAAATAATCTTGATTACTCATATTGACAAATTATTTTTAAATTTCAAATTGTCTTGATTGATACCTGGTACGAAAGAATTTAAAATATAATAAAAAATTTTGCTAATAGTTTGAAAACATATAAGAAAAATAGTAAGGCTTGCAAAATTGACAAAAGTTATTGTGAGGGTTCTATTTAGTAAAGATTATTTTGATCACGACTTTCGCGATATTTTAAATGTTGTTATGCACGTGACAACACAGATCAGTGGAATTTATCACCCCCACGTGACCAACTCCTTAATATGAAAGTTTTAAAATAATTAATTTTACAAAAATCAGCATTTAAAAGCTACTTTTATTCTCTAAGTAAACTTGCAGAGCAGATAATATTAGATATAAAGCATGAGTTTTTAAGATTAGATAATGTCTGTAATAAAACAAAAAAAATTTATTCCCGGTAAATTTTGATTCCTTCATTTTTACTATGTATTCTGGGAACAAATTTTTCACCACTAAAAAATTTTTGTTTCACGCCCCTTAAATGTCACCGTTCACGTGGGGGTGGAAAATTACTTATAAGTAAATTAACCATGTGGCAAATAAGACGTGACAAATATTAAAAAAATTTCGTCCCCAGAATACTTAGCGTTAGTAAAAATGGAAAAGTGGAGGGTGTGGCAAATATCATAAAAGTTTACTGAAAAATCTTGTGGCGATGATCAGTGGCTTAGATGATATATTAAAACGCGTTTAAAGTTGCAATTATACACTGTTCCCATTGTAGATCATAATGAAGTTAACGTAACAATTGATGTTTTCCTGTGTAACGTCATTTTTTTTTATCATCACATTTATTATTATTATTTTTTTTTTTTTGAGAAATCTTTGATCTTTTATAGTTTTCTATAGTAATTTTAATGTGAGTTATTCTGTTTCTTCTTGGTGTTTAGCTAATCTGGTTTAAAATCTTATATCTATTAACAACTCGTTGCTGGTCATAATTTAGGACCAAAAAAAATTCACAAGCAGGATCCCATTCTCGGAGTCGTTCTCCACGCTCGGTGTCGGGCTCGCGTTCTAGAAGTCGCTCTTACTCTTCTTATTCTTCAAGAAGCCGTTCACGTTCTTACTCTAGAAGTAGATCGCGTTCTTTATCGTACTCACGTAGTCGTTCTCGTTCACCTTATTCACGTAGAAGGCGTTCTATGTCTCCACTTCCTACAAAGATCATGGTTAATAAACTGACAAAGAATGTTACAGATGCACATTTAAACGAAATTTTTGGAGCCTTTGGACGAATTCATCGTGTAGAAATGGCTCTTGATGATAAATGCAAGTTTTATAATTATTTTTTTTATCTTATTTTATTTATTTGAATTTTTAATCTTAATTCCTTCATTTTTCTTTTTTCTTAGGGAAAACGAATAAAGGAATAGCTTATATTGATTACGAAACTAGGGCTGAAGCGGAACGAGCGATTAGTTATATGGATGGAGTATGTATGAACTTTGTCAAGTACAAAAAAATATTTATTAATAAATTCATTAACTTAATAAATCGTAATAAAGGGTCAGCTTGATGGTTCAGAATTATCTTGCACATTTGTGCCTCGCCGTCCGATTTCTCCATTACCACCTAGGCGCAGAGGTATAGTATAAAGTACTATGTTTATTCAAAATGATTCCTTAAATTATTAACTTGAATTACCCTTTCTAGGTGGAAGATTTAATTCTCCTCCTCAGCGTCGTTTTGTGGCAAGTAGCTATCGTGCTCGCGGTAGATCTCCATTGCGTCGTTATTCAAGATCGCGATCAAGATCGCCACCACCAATACGTCGAAGACGTTCTTATTCATATAGTTCTTATAGCTCACGGAGTAGATCGAGATCACCTTATTCCAGAAGTCGTAGTAGAAGCTATTCACCAAGAAGTCGATCAAGAAGCCGCAGTCGAAGCAGAAGTCGTAGTCGTCATTGAGATATCTATGGCTCGGACATTTATCTTCTCTTTTCTCTTTCAATCATTTTTTTTTCAATTATATGATCTTACCTCTTCTTTTTATTATTTTTTTTGGTTATGCTGAAATTTTTCGAGGTTTTTGTAACCCATTTTTTCCTGTTATAACACGTATACTTACTAATGCTTGTTTCTAGGAAAGTCTTTGAAAATACCGTGTATATGAAAATGTAGAATCCATGATAGATCTTGTGTAAATGGTTATTTTTTCTTGCATTTTATCAGAACTTTGCATTTTTAATCAAATTCTTTTTTTTTTTTTTTTTAAAAAAAAAAAAAAAAACAAAAACAATTATTAAAGATTTTTTTTTAATCTTCCAGAGGTTTCTGTAAAGTTTCCGATTTTTTTTTTCCTCTTTCCTTTCGCTTTTTTTTTTAAAAAAAAAAATTAAAGAAAACTGAGTTTGAATTAATAAATAATCAATGTAAGTAAGATTATTTTTTTTTTTGATAGTCAAATTTAAAATGTTTTCTAATATTTTTAAAAATTACAGGAATTTAATAAATTTAATACAAGCAATGTTTATTTATGTGTGTATTTTGAGTACTTTCTTGTTAAATCGTAATATTAATATCTGATTTGTGACTTTTCATTATGATATCTTCAATTAAATTCAATTCATTTATTTATGATTATTAAATTGTTTAAATTTTTTTTTTATGGCTTCCTTAGTTAAAATCAATTCTGCTGGTTTGCATAAATACTTTACAAAATAAATTTCTAAATTTCTAAAAGATTGCCGATAATCATTATCTATTTTAAAATTGGTAGTTTAGTATTATTATTACTATATTAATGTATTATTATTTATCTTTGTCAAATAAAAATTAAAAGCTCAGATGAAATTTTTTTTTTAAAAAAGTCTTCTGAAATTAAAGTTCATTAACTGCCAAAGGACCTCCGATCTCTGTCATATGAATAGTTAAAGGATCATAATCATAAACATCACCACCTTCCTTGTCAAATTTCTCTTCCACATAAGCACTTTCCATTCTGAAAAATATCCATAACCAGCGTCGTATAACTTCGAAAATTTCCATTAAAAATACACTTGCTTGTAATTGATGTATAATATGTAAATGAGATGATAATTTTAATGACCATGTAAATCTAAGTAAAAAATTTACGAATATTGCTATATAATATATAACGCTTTCATTAAAATGTAAAGGCAAACGCGACCGAAGTTTCAAACTAGGCATCAAAACACCTGGAATCGTTGGTGAAAAGAATTCTAATTTCCAATCCATTACAACATCCCAATAAAATGAATACATAGAATTAAAAGCTACCGATATTACCCTAATAGATTTTTTATTTAAAAAAAAAAAGGTTAATTAAAAGAATAATTAAAAAGAAAGAAGAAATAAAGATTTTCATTTACCATAATTTAAATAAGATGGGAGGTGCAATCCATATAACTGACGGATTAGTTAATGACTCGTATTTATACCATTTTTGCAATGCTGAAAATAATATAACAGGAAATGCCGAACAGTATTTAAAAGCATTAAATAAATGACGCCTATTACTATATTTGGAACGAATGTATTCTGTCATACACTGTCTAAACCTAATAGCGTATGGAATGCTTAAAGGGAGTAAAAAATCATTATATAAATTAGATCATTATAAAGAGCAAGGTATACTAATTTACCTGGTAAATAAAGGAGCTATTATATAACTCCAACATCTATTTGCTGAATAGCCTTCTTGGTCCACATCGTAAAATAATAAAATACATCCCGTGACATATAAATCACCAAATACTTTTGCAAAACTAGTTAAAATATCTGCCATTATTACGTCCGCTGGTAATACTTCACTACCAAAACCAGAAAATACTACTCTTCGAATGCAACTATTCGAAGAAAAAAAAATTAATTAATATATAAAATAAACGAACGATGGAATATATATATATATACTAACCGCAAAAATTTTGCTCTTTCCTTCCTTTGAAAAATGTTGAAAGGACATAATATGATTGCAAAAACAACAGCATAGCAAGCTAAGGGAATTGAGGTCCATTCTGTAATTTTTGCTTCAATACCACCGGTTACTTTCCAAAAGATAATTAAATTCAACCAAATTAAAGACGTTATGATAACTGCTAATGTATAAACATCTTTATAAGAAGTATGAGAAATTCTATTTTTATCATGAGAAGAGCTCAAAAGCAGTGGTACGTTTATAGAAGTCCACGAAAGTATTTGTAAATTAGATCCCCATGCCCAAAGTCCTATTACAGAGATAATAAGTACACGATAAGGTAAAGGAAAAGTATTTGATAAATTCCACTCTATGGTGGACATTTTGGTTTTTTCTTTATTATTTCTTTATGTTGATTTTTAGTTTTTTTGTCATAGTGTGTGGGATTGAAAGCGATGTTGTATTTTTTAAAGTGTTAATGTAAGAAAGCTACTAATTTATTCACACTATCTTGATTTAGAATTCGAATTAGTTCTAAAAATATCTCGAGTTTTAATTAAACTTTTTCTATAAAAGTATTTGTGGTGGTACAATATATATATATAGATATAGATATATATATATATCGCAACCCGTGCGATTAATTTACTAGCAAACCAGTAGAAATTCTATTAGTCAAATCAACCCTTTTTCTTCTTATTTTTTTTTTTATAATAAAAAAAAAAATAAAAAAAAGTGAAAAAAAAAAAAAAAATGAGAAACTATATTAATTGAAATTGGTTACTTTTACAAGTATAACTGTACAACGTAAATAATGTAATTATTTCACCTAAAGTTAAAAAAATAAAAAGGATAATCATATGTAATAATTAAAATAAAATCGGGTCATATTTAATATTGTCTTTATGCTATTTATAGTGTAATTAAATTAATCATCTTCGGAATCCATTAAGTCGTCATTTAATTGTGTTAAACCTAAACTTTCTTCATCAAAGGCATTAAATAAAGTTGCATCTCTCGTTCTCATTAAAGAATCGCGTCTTTCTCCTGATATAGATGACCTTAAAATTCCAGTTCCGTTTTGCATTTGTTTATTCATCAATCCAATTCCATCATTCTTTGTCGTACATAATAAATATACTCCAGAAAATATTGTAAGGAATCCACAAAATAAACTTACAACATTTACCATACTCGTTGTATTAAATCCTTGAAAGAGAAGAACTGATGCGAAAATCGTTGATGTTGTAAAAAACACATAATATATAGGATTTACTCTAATAGAGGTAAAAAAAAGAAAATTTAAAATTTAAAAAGAGATATAAATAAAAAAACATCATTAATTAATATACTTACATATTAGTTTCAAATTGATCCAAAGCCTTGTTAAAATAATTCATTTGTATTAATATGCAAAGTGTAGATATGATGATAAACACATATGTTGATGGATGTGTTAACTGATTATTCCCCGCAAAGGTAAGCTTTAGAGCAATTCCAAATCCTTTACAAGACATCACTGATATTGACCCAACTAACGAGCAAATTGAAAGATATACTAAAGGATCTTTTCTACCATATTTTGGCACAATGTGATATATAGCAAGGATTGTATAACTACCAACCGTAAAAATATATAATAAAAATCCTATAAATATAAAAAAAAACTCAATTATTTATGTTGAAAAAAAAAATAAAAATTCATGGCATCTGACTAAATTTAACTGACCTACCAGGTTTAAGAGCAAATTGTAATATTTCATCAACTGTTTTAATTTCTTTATCTGCAGGTGAGTGAAGTACAATCATAATGGATCCAATTAAACATAGCCCACAACCAACTGTTCCTAACCGTCCAAGACTTTCTTTAAGAAATAATGATGCCAAAACAGCTCTAAGAATAAAATATATAAATATATATATATATCATTTGACCTATAAGTCACCAATTTACGAAAATATTTTCTTGCACGTACCCAATTAAAACACTAAGAGCTCCAAGAGGAGTTACAAGTATAGCAGGTGCAAAGGAATAAGCCGCAAAATTTAACAATTCTCCAAAAACCACTACAAAATGAAAATTATTTATTCACTTTAAATTATACGATTTGATATGATTTTTTTGTATGGTCGATTTTAACCTACTTGTTGTCATTCCTATCCACCAAATTGGATTTTTCAAATAACTATGGTCATCGCCAGCGAATCCTAAAAGTAAGAGTTGTTTAAAAATGCTTAGGATACATATATATAAAAAAAAGTTAATCAACATATATTACCATGTCTGTCGTTTGCGTCTATTAGTCCTTTTTTCGTTATAATAAAAGACGTACCAATCAACAGACTGGAAGCGACGGCTAAAGTCAACCCAATATATCTATCGTCAATGCCCATTCGTTGATTCTTATACGTAAAGTTCAAATAACAATACAAAGAAGTGTTGACTTATTTTTCTTATTTCTTATTTGAAATTTCACCAGGAATAGCAGAAATTAAATGGCAAAAGATAATTAATATGAACAAGGATTAAGGAGAAAATATATAGATCTCGTAAGGTGATGCAAATGAATGTCAATATATATTTCCCGTTAGAATAGGAATAATGTGGTTATAAGATAAATAAAGCTCCAGGAAAGATAATTAATCGTTATAATCTTAAATGGAAGAAGATTCTTCCTAAAACTTTTATCGGATTCTGAAGAGAAAATTGTAGTATCATTTACTACTTTATTCTTTCTGCCTATAATTTTTTGTGATTCGTCGAGGTAAGACCGAAATTAATAGTTCAATTAATATCAAATTTGTCAATTTTCGGAAATTCTATCATGATTGAAACAAGTTTCAAACAAGTTTGTAATTATTATTATTGTTGATCTGCATGAACATTTCCAAACTTTTGAGTATGATCTTATGAATGTCGATCAATTTTTCAAACAGGAACCCCATAGTAAAAAAATCTCTTTATTCTCGCTATAAAATAAGTAAAATTAAAAGCTTAATAATCACAATTAGTTATTTTTTTATCATGATATTTAATTTGTTTTATGATTCAAATTTAAGTAATTCACTGAGCTGAACTCTATATTATTAAAGCGTGTATAAATTGTAAAATAATTTATTTTTAGAAATTAACATATGAAAGCAAAATCTATTTATTTGTATATACCTATTATTTTTGAGTAAATAAGAAATTATAGTATTTTTTTAAAAAAAAACGAATTTAAAGAATGAGAAATTAAGAACAATTGCTATTCATGAGTAATTTTTTTTTATTAAAATGTTTACCACAGTTTTTTTTTATTTTTTAAAAAAAATATTTTATTACTTTTGTTTCCATCATAACTTTATTATTGTAATTATTGCAATATATATCATTTTTTCTTTGCTTTATCACTAAGATCTTTAAAAGTTGATATAATTAGATGTATACTATGAGATTTTAGTTTATTTGCAAGCAGTTTTTAGAATGTGGAATTGTAAATCAAATAATAATGTATTCAATATTTAAAAGAATTTTTATCAAAAAAAAATATCTATAAAAATATATTAAAAGGTAAAATATTTTTTAAATTATACTATATTAAATTTATAATATATTTCAACTATCAAAAAAAATATATGAATAAATATTAAGCTTTTGAAGCATATTTATTAAGTTGCAACTCCTTATAAAATTATAAAAATTTATAAATAGTTATAACTCAAAGAATTTTAATTCAGTTGCAACTAGTTAGAAATTTTAAAATTAATTAATACAGTTATATATTTACTAGATGTTGATTTATATCAGGTATATTATATGATAATACTAAGAAATGATATAACAAATTGATTTTTACCTAAATACTTAAAAAAATTCTGTTTTAATTTTAGATAATTTATATTTGTTAAAAAAATTTAATTATCTTATCTGATATATCTCAATTTGATAATGTTTATGAACACTTTATTCTAAAGAACATAGTTTGTATACACTGCTACACCTTTACAAATAATAACATTAGAGAAAAATCCAAATATTCACTTAAACTCACCAACCAACCAGTTGGTACAAATAGCTATAATTCTATTTAATAATATTAAAAAGAGATCATTATATAAAATAATAATATTAATATTATAAAACATTATTACATGATCCTATATGATTATGTTAAGTTTGTTTAACCTATATTTTTTTATAATAGACTTTAATTTGCATATATCGAATATTAGTAGCTTATTTGTATTTAATATTGAAATCAATAGTTAATTATTATATGATATTAAAAATAATTTATTTTCTATTTAAATTTCATATTATCATTTCTAAAATTCTATTATTTAATAAAATAAACTAAAAAATTAGTATTTATAGTAATTTTAAAGATTTATCATTTGTATTGATTTGTTATAACATTTATGTAAAGTAATTAACTTATTATATTAATTAATTTATTTCTAAAGTAAAGAATAATTCATTATAAATAAATAAATATTTAAATAAAGATTTTAAAACTTAAGAAATTGCATTTTTATAAGTTAAGAATTATTATAAATTGAGAATTAATAACTAGAATAAAGCAAATATTATTTAATATAGAATAATAATCAATAATCTCAATTATTTTTTATATTATAATACTGTTACAAAAGAATTTTTAAACTGAATTTGCTCAATAAAGTATTTATTTATAGTGAAAATTAATACTTATATAGGCTGATTTAAGGAATTAGGTTTTTATATTCAAAAAACCAACTTTATTAAACAAATACAAATTACAAGTCATATAAAAATGATAGATTTATATTAATTAACATAAATAAAATGGATTTAACTATATGGTTTTATTTTTTTTTATGTAATATCATTAAAATTTTTAAAATTAAAAAAATAAAATATAACTATTATAATAAAATTGTGAATAACTTAACTTGTATGTATGCTAGATAGATATATTTATATTTATTAGAAAGAGGAAATCAAGACTATCTAACAAATCTAAAATTGCATAAATTCAATTACTGGTTGCTAAATAAATACATTCAATATATTTGTTTTTTACTTTTGCTTTTGATCATTAATATCTCCATATGTAGTGATTGAATTTGAATAATATTTTTTCATCTAGATAGAGTATGTTTTGAGCTTTCAAATGAATATAAAATTTTGCAATTATTATATGTATATGCTATGATATTAACATATGATATTAACAATGTTGTCACTTGCATCAAACCTGTCATAAAAAAATTTTAAATTATATTTCTTACCAAAGAATTATTTTCACAAATGATCTTAAGCTCTTTTTACTTTATTTAAAAGATTTTATTTGTTATTTAAGACTTTAATAATAAAACTTACAAAAAAATTCTTAAACATTAAAGTTAATTAGTATGGAAT